ACCCCTGTACCTACCCTCTTCCCTTACTCTGCTATCCCCCATCCGTGCCACCCCATTCCCTGTCCCATTAGCCGCGCCAGCGTGTCACCATCACTCGTCCCTACCATTGTCCTTCCCTCCCCGGGTCAGGATCTGGGGGGTCAGGGCTGTTCTTCCTGAACCAGCTTCTGTGATTCCAGCTACTCCCTTCCTGTCCTAGGACAAACCAGCCCCTTCACCCCTCCCATACTCGGCCCAGGGAGGCTGGTGAGGGCAGGCCCACCCAGACAGGAGTTTGGGTCCTTTGGGGCCACAGGAGGGGCCCAGCATCCCTTATCCCTCTCCATAGTCCTCCACCCTGCTGTTCGTGGGCGTGGGCTGCTCAGCCTCTCCTCCCAGGGTGTGGGCACCCGATCACCCACATTCCTGGGCTCCAGCCTGGCACCTTCCCCAGGGCACTAGGCGCCATGGCACTAGCCCCAGGCTGGGGTAGAAACCATCTTGCTTCCTTTCCCTTCTCCCTTTTTTCAGGGAGGCCCTAGGTACCCCCACTTCCCAAAAGACACAGGTATCCTGGATCCCCTAATGGTGGAGCCCTGGGGGTTGGTATGATGGATACAGGATGACCCCACCCTCCCCTGCCCATTGTCCTGGATCCTGAGGAGGAAATGCTGGGGGCTGGGCAAGGGGTTTGGGGCCCCCGCAAAACCAGCCCTGGAGATCCCAGTCCTGGGCTGTACACACAGTCCCTGGTCTTTGCCCATCAGCAGTCCTGCCTCATGTGTGGAGGTTGTGGGCCCTAGGTGAGAACTGGTTTCTTCTTTCTCCTTGCTGACCCTGCATGTGAATTTTAGGGCAAGTGTTGTGGGATTTTCTCTCCTCTCATTTCTCTTCTAGACTCTCAGTTTGTGCTTTGTCCCCAGAACTCCCCTCCCTGTCTTTTTAACATCTTTGTGTTTGTTATCTTCTTTCTTCTTCCTTTCCTCCGCTCATTCTTTCCTACATAGCATGACCTCAGTCTTGCCTTGTCTTATTTTTCTCATTTTCTTAGTGTCTGACTTTCTGTCCCTCCTCTGCCGCTTCCCACCACCCTCAGTGTCTCTGCCCATGTGTCCCTCTCTCTGAATTACCCTCTGTCCAATCCCCCCCCCACCATCTGAACGTTCAGTACACTTGTGAGTGACGAGGAATAAAAATATCACCATCCCTGCCCTTGGATTCACATTGCATTTGGCCACTCTAGAGGGGCAGCTATCCTAACCTTTCCTAACATTTCCCCCGCTCCTTCCCCTTGAACCTAGGAACCCCAGACAGATCTCTGAAGCCACAGGAGCCTCCTAACCACTCTTCCCCCACAACCAGGGTTTCCCCCACAGCCCCAGCTGGTGTGGCCAGGCCCCAAGTGTAGGATGGGGCTCCCCCTACGAGGGCCGGAGGCAGCCAGAACTGATACAGCCTCCCTGCTCTGGGGCCAGGACGCCAGGTAACTCTGGGGTGATAGTGCAGGTCCCTGCAAGCGGGGTTATGGTTGGGGAGAGAGGCAGGAATACCTTTGGGACTCCCTCAAGATGGTGACTTTTGGGAGGAAGGCCAGGGGAATAAGAACTGGATCCCTGAGGGCCTGGGAAAGGCTGGAGAGACTGGTTCTGGGGGAGAAGCTGAAGGAAATATCTGGGTCCCCCCAGTGGCTTTGATACCCCTTCTTTTTCTGTCCTCTAGCTGAGGAGGGTGGGAGTGTCTGGAACCATGGCTGGTGCCTCCGTGAAAGTGGCAGTGAGGGTTCGGCCCTTCAACGCCCGTGAGAC